GGTAGGGGCCCAAGCATCTAGATGTTCTTGTAACACCATGATGATACAGGTGATGAAGTTTGCGAGTAGTTATGTATAATTCCTCTCATGTTAGTATGTAGCACAACTCTACATCAAATTGTTTTTTTTATTGTAAATGTTTGGACAGTCAGGTTCACGGTTCAGACCCTTGCTGAACCAGAACTGGACCATTGTCAGACCAAAACAGACCTGGTGTCCATCACTAGGCACCAACAATGCACCTGTCTACAACATTATACACATTGATTCGATCTATCGCATGGCTCACCTTATTCCCGTCTATGGCAGACGATTTCTTTATCACAACATTAACCTTCACAACTTATATGACAGTTTCCGTACATTCTATGTTAATAAGTATGCTGATCATCATGCTTTCGAGCTTGCATCATAGACATTTGCACTTATATTTGTTGATTTAATGTATTCAATCGCATTTTCGAGCCTTATCAGCTTTTCTCCCTTGGATGACTCGAAACCACTTAAGCTAAGTAACCTTTGGCTGACTTGTTGTGCCTTGGACCACATTTGCGAAGTTGCCTGAAAACTCAAGCTTAAATAAGCCGCTTAAAGTCAAATAAGGAATCTTGGGTTTTGCTGATGCTATTTACACATAGTTTTCAGTAATTAGTCTCATTATATCTAAGTTTGCACGAGAGGATGCTTCGCCGTCCACGGGCCCTGTTGGATTGATTTTGAATTTTTCAAACTGTCACTCGAATGTAACGCTGGGCACGTGATATTCGTCGAATTCGCAAGTCGTCTACCTTACTCATAAAGTAGATCCTTCAAGCGTCAAGTAATCGTGCAGAATGTGGATTGACGTGATGTACAAATGAGTGTTGTAACGTTACAAGTAAACAAGTGATTCTGAATATATAAAGTGAGGCGCGTAAAGAGTGTGTATGTCTATGACACGAACTGTCGGGAAACGTAGTACGTATCAAGGGAAGAGGCGAGCAGCATGATGTACAAATGAGTGTTGTGACGTTACAAGTAAACAAGTGATTCTGGATATATAAAGTGAGACGCGTAAAGAGTGTGTATGTCTATGACACGAACTCTCGGGAAACGTAGTATGTATCAAGGAAAGAGGCGAGCAGCATGATGTACAAATGAGTGTTGTGACGTTACAAGTAAACATGTGATTCTGAATATTGAAAGTGAGGCGCGTAAAGAGTGTGTATGTCTATGACAGGAAGTGATGGGAAACGTAGCATGTATCAAGCGAAGAGGCTAGTGGCTGACTTCAGCGGTCGTAATCTACGACGTTGAATCAAAGGCATTACACCCTTTGATAAGCATAACGGGTGTGATGACGAGGAGGGTAAGAGAAACCAGGGTGGTTTGGAGGGGCGTCCAGCGCCCGGAAATTATCTCTAGATCCATACGCTCGCGGATGATAGGTAGGTGCGGGGAATTGAACAGCTTGCTTGGCACGGGAGGATGCATGATAGTCATGGAATCTAGTTTGCGTTGAGAGCATCGAATATTTTGCGGGCCTTAGCCTTTTCGGCCGGGATGGCAAAACAACGCGAGAAAACCTGAAGATAGTCAGATAAGAAATCAATGTTGAGAGCATATGACGTACTCCGTGAGTGGAGTGGAGTTTGGAGCGGTTCGTTCGTTCGTTCGCTTGAGGACATTTTGGCGTATCCACATCATGCATGCCGTGTATTCATTCACGGCGTCTTTGCCGAAAGCAAAGAACGCTACGAAAATGAAGGTGGAGGCCGGAACGACCCACCAGACGAGGTAATAGTTGGTGAGTGCGATCTTTGGCATGAAGGCAGCGGGATATAAGTCTATGCGCGAGAAGTCCCAATGCACGTCATCCCAGTTCGTCCACGGGCGCACGTCCATTGCGACGAACCAAAGGGTGTAGGACGTGACCATGATGTTCCAGATCATTTCTACGACCGCCATGAGCATCAGACGGAAGTAACGAAAAGTCGTCAGGCCATTCCGAGATGTTTCTAGGTGATGTGCGAATTTAGACCGACGTCGTGTGAAATGGACGAAAGAAGCGCCTAAAATGACTTAGTGAAGAAAAAATCAACAGGGAAAATGACGCACATGCAAACCCAAGAGAAATCACGGATAGCACGAGCGGAGGCAACCAGATGAGAAAGATAGCGGGGATTGAGACATATGTCGCCGGGCGACAACCATACCCCTCGATGATGTCGAACCTATGGCCTTGCACGATGTAGTCTGGCAAAATGATCAGCATGACACAACGTCCGAGAAGAATTGCTCGTACGAAGTCCCATGGAGACCATCGGCAGTCCGAAACACATGAACAGTTCGAAAAGCTGGCGAGTGCGTTTGTCGCTTAGCAAAGTTCTGCCCCGATTCACCGATGCGACGTGCTCGATATGAATGCAAATGCAAAGGCAGGCAGCGGGAAGGGCAAACGTAGATCCTATAATGATTTTGCTGGCTCGAAGGGAGTCAGCAAAGAAACTTCACCGTCACGATTGAACGTACTGATATCACACCACACTGGGACGACGATGTTCACGTTGTCGCTCCAAATAATGGCATCGACGCCATACACGAAATTGAGAACGAAAAGCCATGCAATGATAGAGAGGGTTGCAACATTTCGTGCTCGCCATTGCGATGGCAGAGGGAGAAGCAGCGACAGAGCTGCGAGGAACGAAACTGGTGTGAACTCTGGGTGCATGATGAGAGTGAAAGGCAGGATAACGATGTCCTGTCAAAGGAGACAACAACACGTTTATAGGCCTTGAGTAGAATTCATGATATGTAATCTAGTGTGGATTCATTTTGTGGATTTTGTGGACTTCAGATATTCCGCGGATTTCGAATATTTTGTGGATGCCGAATATTTTGTGGACTCCAGATACTATGTAGATTACAAATATTTCGTGATTTCCATCCAGCGAGATTGCGACTGACCGAACCCAGTCAGTGTGCTCCTGGAGGGTACCCGATGCCTTGCCAGTCGCTACGTCCCACACCCGGACTGTTGTGTCCTGTGAACCTGAAATGATGCGATGTCTGTCCAGTGAGAATGGGACATATCACCGCCAGTGTGGCCTTGAAGTGCTTCGCCAAATGAGTATGGGAGCTCAGTCGGAATAGATTATTTGACTCGTTTTTCCAAATCAGGGACGGAAGAGTTGGGTAAGTACGAACTCTCTAAGGAGCAATGTTGAAGCGAAGCGCGCGTTCTGAGTCCATGACCCAAAGCGAGGCAAAGGCAAAATCTCTATGTACTGCTGATTGATCCACGAAGAAGTCATGGCTCTGCGATTCGTCTGTGAGGAAGTCGTAGAATGACGCGTGAAGGGGACGTATGGGAATATCAGAATCTGAAGTGCCAGAGACGAAAGAGCCAAGATGCTTCACGAGTTACTTCACGTCGTAGCGGTCATGAACGCATGTAAAAACATTGATGGGAAGCGGTTCTGACAATGCAAGAATTTGACCCATCACAGATCGAAAGATTGAGAACGCTTCCTCGGGCTTGTGCTTTGGCATGATATCTGCCAAGATGTGTTGGTACATCTCATCCAACACATGCACGCCTTTGGCGGATGTTTCATAAATGTCGTGGAAATGGTGCATCGGGCCTCGGCTCACGAAGTTCGTGCTTGATATATTCTGAGGCGAGACGAGCCCATTCAAACAGGCGATCAGATATTTCAGAGCGAGCACCTAAAAGTGGGCAACGTGACGCAGATCATGTGAGAGATATAAAGTTCAATGTCGAGTTCTGTGGACGCAGACGAGATGTCATCCAGAAAAACATGCCGGACATGTGACGCGGCGTGCAGAGCATTATGAATGTCTTCAGGAGGGCGGGAAGTGAGGCGAATGCGGAAGTCGGCTGGGAGTCCTGCAGAAGCGATTAGTACTCATCATGGCACACGAGGCAAACTCAGAGTTGAAATTAAACTTACCTTAGTTGACTGAACAGGTTGGGTGTCCTGTAGGCTGGAACTTGCAGCCATGGGTTCAGGGTTAGGGGACTGTCGAGCGCTTCGAGTGAAGTGCTTGGTCACCTTGCCCAACATTTCGCGAATTGGCCCCGTGAGTCATCAACGGGACCCATTTCTCGAAGGGGAGAGAGACGACGACTATAATGATTAGAAATGATGTAGTTGTCAACATGAAATGTCATACGTCGTGACTGGTTGACCTCCTGCCTCTATCCTCCACCAAATGAGGGCCCTCTGAATGACTTGGCATCGGCTGCCCCAAGCGTTTCTTCCGAGAAAGATTGTTTTTCGTCCATCTAGCAAGTAGAAAAGATAGGTGGACGTGCTTGTTAAGAGGTGTCCTGGTGAATGGAATCAGCAGGCGTGGTGGGTAGCAAACGACATCAACGAGCGCCTACGTGTCTGCAATGAGGATTATTATTGATGATGACCGTGCGTTTGGAAGCGCCTGTTATCGATTGGCAGCCTGGGCTATCCCGAAAGCTGAAACAGAAACCTTATCGTTATTCGGTGCATTAATGCTGGGGCAGCGGTGTTCAACAATTGAAAGTACTGATAATATTGGAGAGTCAAAATTCATTCAAGATTATCGCTAGTCATTCGGATATCAATGCGATGTGCAAACCCAAAAAAATCATCATTGATAAATCGAAACTCAGACCCAGAAATAGACTCCGAGGAGGGAGCCTTACCAAGGGCACAACATCACCGACTCCTCAATTCACTGATGCGGCCCGTAGGACTGAGTCAAGCTGGCGCGACACGCCGACAATGTGTATTTATAACACATACGAGGCCGATGCTCCGCTTCTTCACTCAGTAACCTGCTAATATACATCTAGCCCAGTATTTTCTGTCGTTGTCTCGTTCCATACGAACTCACAACGGTCAGAAAAATCTATGACGGCAGGCTCAAGGCATGGTGGGACTTGACACACCTTGAACTTGACATCGTAAGAATTGAGCACGCCTTAAGGCCTGCACCTACTATGTGGTCCTTAGTAACGATTTTGAAGGTGAGTTATTTTGTCAACTAAGATTTACGCACCTGTTCAACGTTCAATTTCGGTTATTCGTCCCCATCGCTGGCAGTACGTCTATCTGTGGCTAAGTCCATGTGAATGCGATATCGATAATCATTTTCATAGAACTCATCATCCACCGCCGTTTATTGAAATTATGTCGTTCACACAGATGTTGGTATTAGGACCGCGTCTCATCCCTGATGTTTGAGAATAGCGCTCAACTTTCCACTCCTCATCTCAACGTTCAAGAATATCATGTTAAGCTCATAACCGACTCCAATACAAGAACGCTGCGATCGCCTTCCAAGAGCGTGTCTACATGTTAAGCGGGTCAACTGACAATGATATGCAGTACTGGAGATACTCCAAATGATCATCGCTTGGTGAGTTGATTGTTTCGGGTGATTATCTCCAGGGAGCATGATTGAGATCATAGAACTGGAATATCATGGTTCGAAGACCACTATTTAAGCTAGCTCACACATGGGTGGAATGATCAGGAGCATCTCATCAGAGACAGCCACAGACTTGTGATGTCGAACTCGCACGGAAATATCATCGCTGATATGGACACATAAACATTTGGCGCCTCTACCAGTGTAACTGTCAAGTTTACATTGTCGTCAATAGTGGCTGACGACTTTAAATTTGACGACTCTCGGAGAAAACGTAAGGTGCGTTGGTCCCCTGTGAGAAGTGATACTACTACTTCCAGAAGACAAAAAGGAAAATATCTCTGAAGTCGAGTAATGATGCTAACATATGGCGCAGTTGATAGCAACAAGCTGTGCGTCAACTTTGGAAGCGTTCCAACTTAGGACTTTTGAAAATTTGATCCTCCGTGTACAAGGTTGCTGTGCCGCTGCCTGTGATGTTCGATCGCCGTCTATAGTGAGTGATTTATCTTAAAGAATCTCCCATACACTCATCATGTTCCAGCATAATTCTATGTAGCGGATCAAGTAGAAGAAGCAGGGGGGCATTACCGACCTGCAATGGTAATCGGTCTTGATCGTCGGAACTTCGAAAGGCTTCTTATGTGGCCAAAACCTACTATGGGTGTGTCCGAGTCGTTTTCTCCCCCGACCCTCGAATCTAGGTATTTTCCAAAATTTAAAATATGGCATCACGTATTTTGATGATGCGCTCGATGATTCGGTCGGCTCGGGAGATCGAATGGCAGGCGGTCGATATAGAACACGATGAATAATCTAGGATGAAGGTAAACCTTGACAGATCACAACTTGCAAGGAAGACCACCTCAATTTGCAGTTGCCAAGTCTTTTCTTCAGCCATTGAGAATCGATACTCTGTTCTTCTCAGCTTTCTCGTAGTGCTTGCAGCTGTGCACGGAATCATCCACTAACAGGCGCTGTGCGGACTGTATATACACTTCTGTTGCTCGAGTAGTGGTTTTGCCCCATGAAGAAGCATGGAAGTTGCATCAGACACATCCTGAGACGACCTATGGCGCATCGAAGACACTTCAGGAATAAAAGGTGTGGCGTTTCCAAGCACTGACACCCGAAACGGCACCACGGAGATGTATTTCCAATACAAGTGAAACACATTCGCAGTCTCCAATTTGCGTGATCTTGCGTATATTTGTACGAGCGCTGATTATGCTCAAGGCGTGCGCACATATGGATGTTCTAGTGTGAAGGTCGAATGATATGAGAATGAGACTTGCGAGCAATGCCATCAACAATGGCATTACCTTGAAAGACCTTGAAGAAGTATGAGCTTCCACATGCGATAGAATGGGAGGATGGCAAGGCTGAGACGCACGTTCAGTTTACCAGCCGCTCAGCGCTCAGCGCTCACCGGGTTTGATGGCCAGTTGTGGCCCAAATTCATCTCGGCAGGCTCCTTTTCAATTTGTCGTATCCAACGTCCTTCCCTGCATTTACAAGGGTGCAACGGCATCAGACTACTTCGCGAATTCTACTAAAACCCTGTCCGTGATGATATTCTCACATGGTGAGTTATTTGACTGATATCGCGTTCTACTTAAAATAAATATCATAGGCAGAGTCACGGCTCAAAACGTTCCAATTACCACATCAAACGAAGGGTCTCGTAACGTTCTCAGAGGTCAGGCTTCCCTGCGCGTGATTGTACATTGTAACTCGTGGCTCTCGTTTGAGTCGTGGGCGACTGTTATTTGGCTGTGCAAGTTGATGTGCCATGTGCTTGATCGGTTGCTCATGCATGCACAGCCTATAGCACCAGAGTGTCACACTATACTTACCACATTTTTTACCCTTATAAATTTATAGCCTGATGACCGAACCAAAGGGGGAGACACGTGTGCATGATGCGACCGCGCATCACTCCATAACCTGTGTCAGACTGATGGCCTCCTCATGTGATACTATGGAACTCTTGAGCTGATGCAAGTGCAGCAAGCTCTCGAGAGTCAAATTCCGGAACTAACGGACAGCTTTTCAAAATTTCGAGGTGATGTATTCCTTGTGTTCGACACTGCTTTGGTCAAACGATGTGGCAGGAAAGTGCATTCATCCCGATATGGCCTATTCGGCGACACACATGGCGTTCGGTAATGGTATATCTAGCGCAAAAGCCATTGTCATATGTTCATTAACCTACCACACTCACTCAGGCCCTTCTCTCCAATATGACTGTGGTATCAGATGACCCCATGTTATGGCCAATAATTAATTCATATCGTT